AGACCAAGGTTTTATGCTATGCATAATACTGAGGTAAAACTCTTTCTAACCAGAGCCAGCAGACAGGTACACGCAAATGAAGACAGATAAAACCAAACCAAGGAAAGTAATTCACTGTTGAGACGTACATAATTACATGAAAAAGAACACAAAAAAGACATAGCTGTATGTGCAGAGCCCAGAGGAAGGCAGTCCTCTGTACCATTTGCTCAGCCCAGGTGTTGGCTACAAGTGGCTGCTGCCCTGTTACCGGATGAGAATGTTTCGTAACCAGAACATAGGGTTGGATCTTGGAGACAAAGCAGTCTTTATTTAAAAGCTTTCTGCAACACATCTTTCACTGTATCATGAAAAAAAAATTGAAGGAAATGAAGCTGTAAGGTGTCCTGACATAAAAACAATGATAGTGCTTGCCTGAAAACAGAGGGTATTTGTAGATAAATAAGAGAGACATTATTCTTGATTAGCAAACACAAAGTTCCTCCATAAGAAATACAGTATAAACTATACAGTAGTAGGAGAAATAATGAATTAAAAGTAGTGTTTTAAACAAAATTGGAAAGTAACATGTACCTGAATACCTCTTCAAATGAAATGCAAAATTAGTGTTCACTCCTTACTAAATATATGTGGTAAGGCTCTAAATATGATGCACTGTATATTGTGTGAAAACAAGAGGAAAATGTCTTTTTTTTTCCTTCTGTGGCAACCATAAACCCCCAAAACCCTAAGAATTTTATACATATTTGATGAGTTCACAGTGGCACTCACAATTGAACATTTTATTAGAGTATCTGAACTTGTCACACGTGGGCTTGAAAATCTTCTAAATAGTAATAATTAAGCCAATGTTAAGTTTCTGCTTTTTTAAAAATCAAGTTAATTATGAGTTAATTATAAGTTTCTAAGGTATAGCTACATGTAGCATAGCAATGCACAGTATTATATATATATATATATATATATATATATATATATATATACACACAGTGAGAAACATGCACATGCATTATAAATAAGCACATCAATAAGGAAAAAATGCAACACAATAATCAGACAAAAATGGCTGTATCACCAACCATAAATTTTCAGAGAAAGTGAGTACTTGTAGAGATTCAGTAAGAAAAAAGAGTAGTTGTACATGGTGGAAAAAAGGGAGTTTTATTATCTCTGACATATTTTTGACTTTATTAACTGTATTATTGTTCTTCTAAACAACCTCACCCAGAAGTAACAGGCATTGAACCACTGAATTCTCTGCTCTCTGCTCAAGTCTAGTCTATAAATCCAGTTATAGAAATTAACTAAGTCAAGACAAGGTATGAAATAGCAATCTTAAGAAGGAAGTGTTTGCCTAGCATACTATCTTTTCTCTGCTACATCTCTGATGAAATAATATATTACTACTTCATATAAATCCTACTGATATAATGTGCTGGGATTCAGAAAATAAAAGGGTATTAATGCTTATTTTGCCAAAACTTACAATAAATATAAAGTAGTCTGTATTTTCAAAAAAACAGAAACATTTACTGTTTTGACAAGTATTAATAAACTGTATTCAGTTTTATCCTCAGCTAAAAATTAATCCCTTCAATTTAAAAATGACATTAATTCAGTTCTTGGTTAATCTGAAGAAAGAGAAGACACTCTTAGAAGATGATTCAAAGAGATATTCAAGCTGAAAATGTTTGCAAGGAGAAAATGAACATATAAAAAGGATTAGCTGCATCTAGTAGAATAAAAAGATGTACACAGAAATTATATCAAAAATACAGTAAAAAATCTGAAGCCTGAGGAACATAGCTATCAATAAATGAGATGAGTATAACAAAGTGAAATGAGATTTGCCCAGCTCTTACTACAAACACAGCTCACTTAACAAACAATACTGCCATTGTGAATAAACATTTAGTATCCATCTTAGAGAAAAAAAACAAAACCAGTAACCAACAAAAAATATAAATACGAACCTCCCCCTCTAATTCTCTTCATTCCCCACAAACACCAAAAAGAGCTTCAGCAAAACACATCAGCCTGAAGTCTTTTTCAGAGAATATCTGAATGACTATTTATGACTCATCAGATGAGCTAAAATTCAAGAGCCAAAACTCAGGTAGTGTTAGGATTAAGAACCTATTAGAATCCAGACTGAGTATACAAATGCTTATTAAGAATTAATAATTCCACTCTATCCACCCACTGCACATATGCAGTACACACTGCACACTTACACTTTTGGGCATTCTGTGATTTGACCCTGCCATTAAAATTTACTGTTCAGGGTGGGGTTGGGGAAAGAAAGAAGTATTTTAGAAATATAAATGAAAAGAAACTTTTGGTAGATACTGTGTTAACAAAAACTTTCCACAGTAATTTCACCAGTGATGCACAATTATTTTAATCCTTTTTAAAGAACTGCACGTGTGACACTTCACATACTCTCCTTTTATGGGGAAGTTTCACAAAGAGCAGCAAGCATCCTGTTCTTCAGAATTGTTTTTGAGAAAAGATAGAATGAAATGTTTTGGAACATACAATAGGTAAAGCTTGTAATGCCAAAGATGTCAAATGGTCAAAACTTTCTCCTCCAGCAGCTCCTGAAGTAAATAATAAAATAGGATTTGACAACAAAATCAGGGTCGATGTATGAGTCACACTGTAGCTGATTACATATATAAACTGCATATAATTTCATCACAAATTTTTCTGACATGGTTATTTTTAAGCTATTATAACAACTACATTCTGAGTAACTGGGATAAAAAAAAGCATGATTGCACATCTAAGAAACAGAAATACACTCACTTTAACACTGAAATAGTAACATGAATCAGAGAATGTCACAAATATTCAGATAATTTTTGAAAAATAAAATTCTAGAACATTCTAAATATATGGAAGGGGAATTACAGATACAACACAGAAAGAAAATGTTTCCTTAAAACATCTTGCTTGGCTTCTGGGGCTTGTGTACATTCGATCAGCACCTCTTGGACTGTGCTAATCAGTTATGATTCCACTTTCTGTGAAGTCCATTCAAGACTGTATAAGAACCAATTGCTAAAGTCCTCTGCAGACATTTAAAACTACTATAAGCTCAGCATGAAGAGGTATAAGGAAAGAAAGATGCTGGAGCACAGGTTTCCAAAACACCTCAGAAATTTTTGATTGTAATAGGTAACTGCCCCTTCTCCTTTGAAAGATTCTCAGTAACTTGTACAGAAACTTTCAAATCTGTAGGAAAGATGATTTTAACAAACAAAGGGAATTACACTGTTATTCTGCTGAGATGATACCTGACTTGTATCACAAACAACTTGGCAAACACATCAAAGACACATATAAATACAGTACTAACTAGAAAATCCCAGGGCTGTTTAGGCTGCCTTTACTCTAATTGAGGTAACTTCAAAATGTTTCCCAATTGAGTGGTTTGGTCTGAAGCAGCAGCTGTTCTGAAATTGAACTTGTGGCCAGCCCCACTCAAAGGGGAACTGTGTTACTTTGCAGAGCAATCTCAGCGTGTGTGGACAAGTTTCCTTTCAGAAGGAAGCAACCAAGGAGCTGCCTGAGGTATGGCACCAAACACCCTAAGCCATCACATCTTGATTATGGTCAGAATGGATGACTAAGCTTTTATGTCTGTTCTGACACAAAAATAGACTGCACTGAGCAGGAACTGGACTGGAAGTGTTCCAGAGGTGGCTTTTAGTGAGTTGTTTTATGGTTCTACAGAAAGCACCAAGACTGCACACAGTGTCACTACAAGCACTATGGCACTAACTGATTTTATCTGCTTCTGTTGTTTCACATTATTTTCTAATGTAAACATGGATTTCCATATCCAAAAATTCTTACTTACCAGGTCCACATTCTAATTTAATAAAACAAAAATTACCCTGGGTACTAAGGAATTTTTGGGTGGCAGTATAGATCCCTCTGTAGGTTTCCTCTTGCAAGGATGGATAAACCTGTGCAATTCTTCTTGTTGTCACAGTCAGACTGTTGCTGACCTCAGGTTAGCTTGGGTAGCTGCACATCACACTGATAAATGCAGTTAATATGCAGCCTGCATTATACGTGATGAGGAACTGGAAAATCATAATGACATGTACAACCTGAAAAAAACCCCACTGTCAATCATTAAATGGTGAAAATTAGCTTTAAGCTTGATATTATCATCCTCTCACAGTGGTTAATGATAGCCATTATAAACTAGAATTAATTCCAATTTATCTGCATATTCATTAGGAGCTTGGTATACAACCTCTCATCTTTAGCTATGCAATGGTTTGAAAATATACTCAGTGCTGTCATCATGATTCTACTGCCTCAGTATGAAGACGTACTTCTGATTCTGTCCTTCTCAAAATTGATTTAAAAAAAGAGAAAATAGAAAAAGCAGAAAGAAAATGGAGGTTATTCAAAAGACTAGGATACAAAAAGGCAAACAGATATGCACAAATATAAAAAACCCACTTACAACAAAATGATCCCAACTTCCCTAGAATCATAGTGAAATCAAAAGGTTTTTATGTTTGGCATCTAAATATTTCCACTTCAATCTTATTCTCTAAGAAAATTATATTTATAAGAGGTTTTCTCTTTCTACCCATTCAACATAAATTATTTGTCAACATTTGTTTAGATTCAGTTAACATTGTTAAGAATCAGAACTCACACTAATTAGCAGCTTTTTAAAGCTTGTTCAGTAAAAAAGTAATTAAAAAAGAAACTTCCACAATGTATCCCACTCATATGTTGAAGTGTGAGTGAGGAAGTAGGTACTGCAGGATTTATCTGAGGAATAGTGAGAGATGGAGTCTTTACAATCAATCAGAATATAAAAGCAAGATAACAGAACTCCCTTGGAAGTTATATTCGGTTAGTCACTTAGTTCTACACCTCATGGAATAATTTCTTTAGTCAGTTCTTTGCTGCTGCAACAGAAATTAATATTTGCATCTTAATTAGCATAAAATAGATGTGAATCCTACCACATCTGCTCTACGTCTTCTTTCCAACAGCAGTCGGAAGACATTAGCTGTAATCTTGTTATCTTGAACACCTTGTCCAAGGCCACGGTTGTCATCCTGCATGAGCCGACGATCCATGATCACTTCCAGCTGACCTGAAAGAGCAATGTAAGGATTATATTAGTGTCAAGAATAGGTAAGGGTTCTAGTAAACATAAATAACCTGCCCTAAAATTTAACTTATTTTTTTAAAAATCATAATATTTCTCTTGAGTTTTGAAGAGTTAGGGCTGATCAATGGTGTCAGGACTGATTATAAAAACAGTTAATACCAGCGGACTGTGGCTGTTTATAACCTTCAAAAGAAATTGTCACAAGCCTTTCTGCAGAATGTCCAGCAATTTTTACTTTCAGAGTTTATATAAAAGTTTAATATGAAAAATTATTACTATTAACTACTATTTGCAACAAGGATTCTTGGCAATCAATCATTCAAGAAAAGAATCACTCCCAAGTAGGAGAGACCTTCTGTAGAGGAACTATCTTCACCTTGTACTCTGTTCTTTTGCTTCACATTTGAAGCCAGAGGGAGAAAAGGTATCAACAGGAGTATATAAACACTCACAATCACTTCTTGTATGGAAAACTTCACTTCTGGGAAGAGGAAAGAACTTTGCACTGGATAAGCACTGAGCACTAAATTCTGAGTTTTTACTGAACTGCAGCACAGCCACTCAAAATAGCTTTTTAAGCATGATGCTAAATTATATATAACCTGGACAATGAAGTTCACGTTTTTTTCAAGAGTCTGTCTCCAGAAGGAAACTAGATTGGGGCAGGTAATCAAGGATGTTATGTTTTTTCGCACTCAATCTTCAAACAAGTGTACACATTTCCTAAGTAAAACTGAAGACTGAAGTGCTTGTATCCTGAACAAGAAATTCACAATTTAAGCTTCTAGGAAAGGCTGCTTACTAAGGCAGTCTTTTTTTATAGTTCAGTGTTCTACAAACACCCAATTTTCTCAAATACTTATTTCTCCCTTCCCTTGAGTACAAACAGATTTTGTTTATCCAGTACAGAAATCAGCTGACAATGTAAGAAAAAAACCTTCTATTTTGATCTAAGGTACTGTTCATGTAACTTTCAGATGGTGGGTTATGCCTTTAGACACACTTGTGTCTCACAGACAGGCACATAGCTACTGAGGTTAGCTTGCCTAAACTGCAAGATTTTTGAATTTTCTTCCATGATCCCTCTGAGCTACCTTCAGAAAAAATGTAACGAAGCATATGATACTCAACAACCACTGAACCTTCAGCTTAATTTGTTTCTGTTTTGAGGAAGCCAACATGCTTTCAGGGAAAAGTAGCCAATTTAGTAATTTAATGAAATATTACTTAATGATAAAAAAATCAGATTAATTCATTCTCCATTTTTTCCTAGTGGGCGCAGAGTAAATATTTGACATGGGTGAATCTTAAGTAACATAATACAGTTTGTCAAAGAGTGAAACAGTCAAGAAATCAATGTCATGTCACATATGGGATACGTCTGTTGCCCTTCTATTTAACTGGAGTAGGTGAAAAGTCTATAATATCCTCTGACAGATTTGAAACAAGTGCTCACAGAAAGTCAGTTTCTCCCTGATGCTCAGCTGCTGTGGAGCCTTCCCGTTCTGAGGAGGCTGCAATATGATTTTAAGACTCGTCCCGTGGGCCATCTGATAAAGCCCCACAGCCCTGGGTCTGCTCCCTCTGTCTGCTCTCAGCTCTGGGCTCTCTGGGCTTCTTCGCTCAGGCTCCCAGGCCTCTGTCCCATTGCTCCCAGCGGGGGAATAAATGGACTCCCCAGCTAAACAACAGAGACTTGTCTCCTCTGCTTTCCCTGTCGATGTTGTGGCCTCCCTGTAGCTACATGCTGCTACAAACTGCAAAATGTTGAACAGTGCTAGCCTTAAATTCCCCAGTTTGATGGCAGAGAGTGGGAGCGTCTGTGGATTTAGATGGTGCATTATATTGTGATGCAGAGACTAAGAATGTTAAAGACAAATACAGACACTATTATCAGGTAATGGAGCCTCTGCAGGCTTATTTCATCTCCAATACCCATTTAATGAGTGCTTAACAAAATCAGTGGTGTCAGAGTCATTCACAGAATCAGACCAAGAGGAGTTGGGTTTCCAGCAAAGGGAGGCATGAAAAACATGGTTTGAGTCTTGTATCTGCTAGGCTTGGAACAAAAGGCTAGTATTTTCCACTGTGGTTTTATTAAAGCATCACTGTAGAGGTCAGTGTTAATTCCTTACACTAAAGTAAATTAGGTTTGCTAATACTGCCACCAATCCAGTACGGTATTCACCTTTTGTAAGAACAGAGTATTTATGACATTCTTCTTAAACGATGAAGTAGATTTTGGTACAGTTTCTGATAGACTCTTTCGCTTCTGAATATTCATTCCATTATCATCCAAAACCATATACATTTAAAATAACAACATATATAACAGCAAGGAATTATACATCTTAAGTTATAAATTATATAACTTATTTTGCCCACTACCTCTAGCTTTATTTGAATACCTTTCCCATTCTGATAGAATGAATAACTGTTCTCTGTTTCCAGTCCTTCAGGCCATTCAACATACCCTTTTCTGCTCCAAGGAGCAAGACTGTGTCTCTCTTGGAATTCTTAATATGAATTGATTTTTCTTGTCACCATATTCATCAGCTCTGTCAAAGTACTCCATTAAATTTGTGAGGTATCATTTTGCCTCAGAAGTATGTTCACTCTTACCCAGGGTCATATTTATCCTTCATTTCACTAACAGTAATCTTCAAAAAAGCTGCTGTTGTTTCTCCTTGACAGAGAAGTTAGGCTATGCTGTATATACCTTAAGACTAGTGCTGTCTATACTAAAGCAAACAAACAGAACAAAAAACATGATCAGCATCCTTCTTAAGACCTCTCCTACTAGGGCCGTATGTTCCGCTATTTCATTCCTGAGTTCCACCAGAGTTCTTGGGTGAAACTTTATTGGTTCTGAAAATTTCTTGCTTCTTCTGTCTTTTTTGCAATCTTTTTCCTCTGCTTCTAGTTTGAGAGAGATCTGTCATTGAAGATAAAAGGATCTCATGTGGGACCAACCTCTTCCTCTTCCGTTATAGACATACTTGAAAAGTTGTCACAGTGGGAGAAACTTATTTCCTCTCTTCAAATCTTTGTAGGTAAGTATAGTAATCTCTGAATAAACTATTTCAGAATACCATGAAGGAGAGACCTTTGTCATATCTTTCATCATATATTTACCATTTTTCAAGCTAGCAACACCTAAAGACTGAGCTGAATGAAGTGTCAAACGAACACCAACATCTTGGATATAAGCCATGGTAGTCATAGGATAGATATTTGCTTGAAGAGGCAACTTGCTCATCGTCAGTCTAGGCTGGATCTGCAATATGAACACAAAATTCAAAAACATACATTTTTTTAAGCAATTAAATTTCAAAGACATTTTCAACATTTATCCTATGTGCTTTGGAAGAACAATCATCACAAAAGCATTCACTCAACTGTATATTATTATTTTGCTTTTTTGAGATTTGTGGCTAAAATTACCACTTTGGAAACTGTAGCTTCAGTGTACTTTCAGATCAAAGAATATTAAAAAAAATGTGAAAGATTCATCAAGGGAACCTACAAAAAGGGAACCTATAAAAAGGAATAATCACAGTTATAAAATGAGAGAAAAAAATTTCTCCTCTAGAGAGCAAGCAGTGAATAGATTTAAGGCAGCAGAAAAGGAATTGATGTTTTATAATGGGAACTTATTGAAGCACTGTTGAAATTCTTGAATGGTACATGACAAATGAGTAGTAGTATTAAATTATTTCCATATTTAAATATTCACTATCTCAAGCAAAATGCAGTGGTACCAGTAACTGGAAAACTAGTAGTCTTTTACTCAAGGAGTCATGGATCCTGTATTTACAAAACTATTTTTAGCAAGAAAGGAAGGTCAGGAAAAACAATTTTTCTCTCTTTTGTGTGTGCTGCACAGTTCAAGTTACGGCAATGGCCCTTTCCTCAGACGTATTACCAATAGAAAAAGTATAATATATCCAAAAATACACCATTTATTTCCAACACAGCAGTAAGCAGCTGTTCACTAGGTGTGTCCTTATACACTATGTTATCCAGTGGGTTTTAACTGAACAAACAAAACAGAGGAAAAGAAGTCATGCATATATACAAGCAACTAACTACATAGTAACTTGTCATAACCTGTTGTATTTATAATTCTTTTATTAAAAAGAATTTAAAGGAATATTCAATACATTCCTTAAAAGCACACAGTTACTTCTCAGTCTGATCTAAGTCTACCTGTCAAATTTTATGAAAGGTATATTTTTAAAAAGTATTTCTCCTTTTAAATGATTAGTGCAGTTTAACATGAGAGTTTGTTTAATATAAGCTCTTTACATTTACACAGTCAAAACCTGACACCCTAAGCTTTTACAATTAAAAGATGGTAATTACCTGATATCCATTAAGATCAGTATAGAATCTATTTTGACTGTTTATGTCGGATGAAATTCTCATTGCAAGTTCACGATTATATTCTCCTCTTATGTCCACAATATTGGAAACTTCAAGAGACTGACCTTCCAAACCTACATGAAAAAGATGCATTTAAAATCTCTAAAAGTGACTGCCACATGTGTGAGAGTGACTGTGTTCCCAGCACACAGTGATCTAGATTTTATTTTCTCTTATACCTAAGCAGATATTGGAAGACAGGTCAGTTATGCAACAGATGATAGAGCAATATTTTTAATTTGGTACCAATTGAACAGACAGTCTGAAAGAAAGCAATATGTGGTAAGAACCACTGTAGGTTCCAGTAAACCAGTAGGGAACAGCACACAACTGTTAAGTGCTGTCTTTAAATAAATATGCTAGAGCAAGACCTGGCCAGTCACTTCTCCTCTTCACTCTTAAGCAGCTGTCCCTATTCCCAGACGAGAATGAAGTTACTGTATTCTTGATATAATTGTTCAGCTGAGCAGGAAACTTTGAGCAGCTCCATTAATCAAATGAGTGACATTTTTCCTTAAAGACAGTCAATTAAGAAATTTTAACTAATACAACCACTCACAGGACACAAAACATTGTTGACAGGAAAAAAGTTCATATTTATTAAAAGATGGATCAGGTGTCTGAAAATTCAGACAAGCTGTTCAGTGAGGTTTGGTTTTTTTTTTTTTCCCTACAGTGCCTTGTACTAAAATTAAATACCTTTAATAACAACCTGACCTTTTCAAACAGTTCAAGTCACAGTCTGGAGTGGAATCATACCATCATTCAGCATCACCACTTCTACCCTTTCTGCAGTCTAATGGGACTAATGATTGCAAAAAGAATTGCACCAAGCAGAACACAGATATGTATTTGTTTCCCCATCTATTTTAGAATCTAAATGCCACCTGCAGAAGTATAGCAACTGTTAAAATGTTAACATTTACCAATGGCTATTAAACTTCAGTGCTAAATGAAGAACACTTGATTCAGCTAATTATTTCTATATTCCCAAACTGAGTCTGGAAAATGTGCATTTATATGCTCCACTTTTGATGCTCCCATTAATAGATTTTCCAAATAGTTCAAGTATTTTATCCAAATATTTAAAAGCATGAGTACATTAAGGAAGTACATTAAGCATGAGTACATTAATACAGTAATTTAGTTTAGACTGTCATCATTTTTGTACTGCATAATTTGAGATAATACAAAAATATAACTATGAAGAAAAACAAGCCTCTCAATAAAAGATTCATAGAACCATGTTAATATCAAAAACAGATGCCAATGGCAGCAGAAGTTAAAAATCACTTAGTGGTCAATTACTGAACAGAGTTGTCAACTCAGAGTATTAAACAGATCAAACAGAATTTTAAGCCAAAAGTGGCAAAAGCTATTTTCCCCAAAATTACTGAAGATGTAGGAGTTGGGAGTGCTATCCAACAGCTGGATTAGCTACACAATCAGTCTTGCTACCCCTTGGCAAGTAGGTAGGTTACAACAGGAGATGAGGTTCTGATTTGAAATCAAAATGCATTTATACACATAGTGATTTTTTTCCACATGCTTTGTTACTGTACATATCTAGTAAGTCTTCAAAATATCTTATTTTAATTGAAGTAATGCTATATAAATACTTCCCCTTGCAAAGCCAAGGAAACAGACCTCAGCAAAACAATGATGCAAAGCTATCAAATTTTAAACTTTGAAAAAGTTTACTTAAAGAAATTTAGATAAAAACACACCAAAGAGCAAAGAGACAATATATAAAATATATTTTGCATCATTTTTCCTTGTCAAAGCTAGAAGCATGGTATAGGATTTAATGATGTATACATTATATATGTAATGGTGTAAGTATTGAAACACAGTGATAAAGTAAAAAATTGTCAGAAAAACCAAAGGAAAAAAGTACACTCACAAGGAAAGATAAATTTAAGTGTTAGGAACTGGCAAGCAAGTGATTTTCACTGACAACTCACTTTCTGTGAACTGTGAACAGAAATAATTCCAGCAAGCATTTAGTAGCAAATTAAAGAAAAAGGAGTACTACAGAGCAATCCACTCTAAAATAACATCACCCTAACAAAGGGGGGAAAAAAGGCTTTTCAGGCTTTTTCCCTTGCTGAGAATTTTAGTTTACTAGAACTCCCAAAGGAACGTAATTTTATTTCCACATTCTTGGCAACCTGGTACCTCTTGACCTCAAAGCATCTTTTTTCATATAAGATGATTTTAACTATCTGTCACATAAAACAAAGAAACCATAGTCATAGATATATGTTGTGTTTCCTTAGGTTCTTCAGCAATGAATGCGAACTCTTGGCTTGTGTCCCTAAGGAATGTGAGTTTAAGTTTGATCCAGAATTACTATATGACTTGGGAATTGAATTCCGATTAGCTTTTGGCATATGTGTAAACTCCAGCAATGTCAAACTTCAGTGTACAAATGTCACAAAAATGAAGCATCTGAATCAATTTTAGTTCTAGATCGAAATACACTAGAACTAAAACAAAACAAAAAACAAACAAAAAAAATCAAACAGATGATGTCATTACTATTTTTGAAACCTAAAAGAAAGAAGAAGATGAGCAAGCAAAATTTTCAAAGTACTTATAACTTTTTTATAGAAGTTGTTTAGGAAAAATAATTAAATATGATAAATAGGACTTTAAAAAACATAAAGACAATTTTGATTCCTACAGTAAAGTTGGTAATACAAAACATGTAAATTCCTTCAAGTGAAAACATTAATCAGTGCTCTTTTATCCCAGAATAAATCCAGTAGATAAAAATAATGAATAACTGAAAATTTATATTTCTCAATTACAGAAAGATACACTGAAGCATGTTAACTCCAGTTTCTATATGAAAATAATTATATACAATCGCACCATGACTTCCACCTTCTTTTACATTTTTCAGAGGCCAATTCCAATCAAGTTTGGAAGGGTAGAGAGTTTCCAAAATTTCTGTTTACTTAGAATTTCCTTGGAAATCAATAGCTGAACAATATATATCTGAACTTAAGAAGAAAAGCAACTTAAGAAGAAAACTGAAGGCAGCAAAGGAAAACTGGTATGATGTTATGTCCTAAGAGCCAAAAAATTGACTTTTGGTGCTGGTGCCTCTCAACAGACACAGATAATTCTGTCATGAGCTCACTCAAGCAGAAAAAGGACATACAAAGGGAGGTCATAAATAACTAAAGCCTAAACTTGTGAAGTAAACCAGACTTCTCTATTAAGGTCACTGATACATATTGTACTTCCATCAGTAAATGTGAAACTATGAAGGAAACCATATTCTTACATTCTCTCCAAGGTATTTCAAGTTATTTTTATGATTGTCAAAATATGTAGTTAGTTACAGCATTCAGATGAGTCAGTAAAGTCTGGAGAGGTATTTCCAACAAATCTATTGAGTTTAATATACCACCTTAATGACTAGCATGATAGAGAGAAATCACAGTGCAAAGTGTAATGGGATCAATACAACTTCAATCTCATGAACTCTGCAACATTTAAACATTAAAAAGGCAGGTAAGATCCAAGATCATTGTGACATGAAATAACTGCCAAGAGAGACAGAATTTCACAGCTCTTACCCTGGACTTTATACAGCCGTATGGTATGTGTCACGTGGTGAAAAAAACAAACAACTTCTGAGAAAATCACACCATGAGCAACTCGTATGGTAGGTGGGTCTGTAAAAATATACGGCTACAAAAAGAAAACAGAAAGTCAGAGTGGATTTCGGAAGTTTTTCACAAATGTAGTGTCAATAAATTAAAGTATTTAATAAATATTAAAATAGTGAGGTTTTTAAACCACTATAGATCTAAAACATTGGAGATTAAAATTTACTCCTAATCTGAAATTCAGCAACTTCTCTTCAGAGTCCTATATTCTCTTTATAAATACATCTCACAAGTATTTTATGAGGATTAAGGGATACAAGGTCTACAGACAAACACATGAAAAGTATTGATACTGCATCTGGACTGAGCTCTTTTGCTAGAAAAATTATAACTGCTAACCAGTAATTAAACACTGTTCTTTCAAACTCTGGGGCAGGTGGTTTGACTCCCTGCATCAGTGGTACACACTGCACAAGGAAAGCCTCCCCCTACTCTGCTGTGTAGACCAGTTTGCATATCCTTTGAAAATAGAGGAAAAAGCTTTTCCTTCATCAGAAGCAGACATAGTTGCCAGTGGAGCTCTCTGGAATGCAGGGTAGGGCTGGGAATCATTATGAAATGTCAATAAGGACAGTGGCTTACTACTCATGGCTCCTACAGACTAGGACAAACATTGCATAGTCACAGTCAAACCAAAGAGATGAAGAAAATTATTTTTCCATGTAGCCACAGTATTTAGGGTTCTGGCTAGGCAAACAGTGACATTTTTTAAAAAAAACCTGTTGATCCACACTAAACTGTGTGCACCAGATGGAAATAAATGGATGGCTGCAAAGGTAAAAATAAGTTAAATATTGAGAGTGTACAAGTCAAAAATGAAAATACAACACATGCAACTACTTCAATAGGGAAACAGCTGTAAATAAAGACTTCACTCACAAAAAAACTCATCCCAAATGCTTGAAAAAACACATTATTCAGAGAGATCTAGTCAGAAAGCTCTCAGAAGGTGGCTGTCTTCTGTATATAGCAAGGCCATAAGAACAGAGCATGGTCTTTCTTGAAGCAATGACACCAAACATACATGCAAAACACACTAGAGAAGGGCAAGTACAGCCAAATATCCAACATTCTTTGAGCATATAACTTAATGTATAACAGGGAAGATTTCAAGAAGTATTGTATAAAAGAAAAAAGTGAAAGGGACTTTCAAGAGCAAAAATCCACCTTTTCTATTCACATACTTATTCTTAGAGCTACAGAATACTCTTTAATAAAAGCTTTGCCAGAGCTACAAGAGGCAACTCCGCAGTTATCAACTACAGGAATATTTTGTACAGGAGTTTGGAAGAGAAATCGCAGGTATTTACGCTTTGATAAGATTGTTTGGTTTAGGGAGAAAGGGTTTTTTCCTACAAAAAATCTTATCCAGTTAATCAATAAAAAAACCCTCAAAATAGTGTTTTATCGACTTCTTGATAGTCTACATGAAAAGATTATGGAATACTTCACAAGATCCCATCTTGTCAATAAGACAGACAAATGTTATCTGTTAATGCAAAATCCATTTGCTAGGTGAGAAATACAGAAGGAATATGGTATTCAGGGGGCATATTAGATAGATGAGCTAATATGCTGTGATAAAAGAAATTTGAAGACCAGATCTTAGGTTAAAACCTCTTATGTCCATGAAAAACTGACAATATTCATAATTGTAGACTGAATTCTCCCCTTCTGGCAGAAGAGACTTATTTTCTTTTCTATCACATATAGGCAGAGAAGACAAACTAATTTAATCAGTGACTACCTGACTTTTAGAAGTTAAAAATCCCACAAAGGAGGAACTGGATGACCAAACAAATGGTGGAGCAATCAAACCCTTCAAAATCCTCCCTGCAGGGCAGAGCAACATGAAGATACTCAAGCTAGAAAAAACAGACTGAAACAGCACCTAAAGGAACACTCAGAAAAGGAACTGAAAAACTTGAGGTCATCAGGACAAGCCAGTGACCTGTGGCCTAGAAGAATGTAACTTCCACAGACAATAGACTGCCAAATATATTCTGTTATCAAAGTAACACAGATCTTAAGGCATTGTGTAGTTTGTAAGAGTATTTTTTGCTCCACTCTCACTGGAGATAGCCAGCAAAATGGAGAGATGCTTGGTGAGTGGCAGGAATATAAAAGGTTATGCACTTACTAGAAAACAATTACCTGAAGTAATTTCAAAAATTAAAAAAAAAAAATACTAAACCCAAACATTTGGAGGAACTCTTTTCCACTGAGTTTTTTAGTACAAAACATGAGTGTGATATTGACAACAGCTATGAAAATACACAGAAAGCTGAAACGAGATGGATATATCAGCTCTCAGATTCTAGGATATTGCCACAAATATTAAGTTCACACACCTGAGCCTCCAGGCCGCTCATGTAGCCAAATCAGCTCCTCTTCTGAAGATAAGTGCAACATGTTATAGATTGTTCTGAACTAAACAAAAAGATGAGTTGATCCTTTTCCTGGAAAAGGAACTGTTATTTTGCAGATATTGCCTGAAACTAATCAATTTTTAAAAAATAGTAATTCTTCATTTTGCTAGGACATGCATTGAGTTTGCAAGCCTCCAATTCAGTCGCAGTGCTAGAAAAAGGCACAAAAGAGGAAGGTGGCTTACAAAGGCAGATGCTACCATGTAGTTTTGGGGATCAGAAAAGTTCTTTCTGATAGAAAGAGTGGCGATGCGATATACACTCAAGTTCTCAAGGATGACTGATCTTCCCTGTATATTGGGCAAGCAGGGAAAAAGAAGTAAATATATGGCAGCGACAGAACAGGGGAGCCTTCAAATTCATGTTTAGTGCCTAGAAAAGCACTAATCTTAGAACTTGATTTGTTGATAGTTACCAGGAGATGCCTTAGCGCTCTCTTGTCCCCCCTTTTGTCCCAGCTAGCTCCGTTGGGGGGGGAGCGCTGGCAACTTCCGTGTTTTCCGGCGAACCCTCGCGGGTATCTGCCTGTGCTGCGTGGGTTTGGGAGCGAGGCGAGTCCCGAGGCGAATAAAAGGAGAGAGACTTTTTCCCCCGCGGGCGATATCACGGTTTATTACGGCTTGGTTGGGAAGGCAAAAACCGAAAGGACTGCTGCGTGCTAAGTTCGAGTTTGTCCGTGCCGCCTGGCCGATTCGGGGGCGGGGCAGCGCGCTCCGAAGCAGGCCGCGATCCAGGAGAGGCTGTGTGCAGAGCCGCGGCGCTGCTGCCGGCACGTGCGGGAGCCGCGGCGGCCGCGGCAGAGGCGACGGCGGCGGTGAGGCTGCGGCAGCGATCGCAGGACAGTCCGAGGCGGCCGCGGTCGCCCGAGGCAGCGGCGGCGATTGCGGCAGTCAGGGGCCAGGCGAGAGAGAGAGCCGCGGCAGCACGCAGGGATCCGGCGGGAGAAGAGGCGGCGGGCCGGGCAGCAGCAGCGATCAGGGGCCAGGCGGGAGAAAAAGCACCGGGGCGTCCCCAACCTGCTCTATAAGTACGGGATAGGGGAAACCCGGGGCGGCCAATGAGATAACGCCACGGGGGAACTGGGGATAGTGGGGTGCAGGGGTCTAATGGGAGATGGACAGATGGAAGGGTGCCAGGTCGTCTCTCGACCCCGCTGCGTGGCTGACAGATGGTCTGAGAGACGTAAACAGAGTGACTAAGGTAAACCGCAGGGGGAAATGGGAGAACCCGGGAGGTCGTTACAGATCGCGAGGGGATACATGGAATGACCTTATACATAATAGAACATATAATAACACAATTCCACAAGGAGAAATACCAGTTCAGAACCTATAGAGATATAATTGCCCAGGTTTGCCTCACCAAAAACATTTCAATCAACCAAGCTTTTGCTTTTAAACAGGAAAATATCTTTATGCATTGAATATGCAGTTATTCTAGAATCATTGTAAAGATCCTTGGTGAGATACACAGGTCTATGAAAGGTTCCTGGTCCCGGATCTGAAATACAAATGTACTTTTGATGTGAAAGTCTAGAGCAATGTGGAAAGAACGATGATAGACATTTTCAAAACGGATTTGACAAAGTCCTTGTCTCAATTCAGTATTAAGTCTGCTTTGTAAACAATCATGGACTAAAGGACCTTCCAGCATGAAGTAATCTGTTATATGTATCTGTTACATATGGAATAAAAATATGTTGCTTTCATATCCAATGGCTAGTCTGAAGACTTCGCTTTCTAAAGAGTTAAAATAAATAGCTGCTGTAATATCTGTTCCCCTCAGCTCCAGTGGAATGAATTCCATTGCACAAGATCCAGCAGCCTAGTAAGGCAGCTTCTGTTGAGCCTGGAAATCAGAATTTTTCAGAAACAGGACAACAGAACTATGGGTCAAAGGGTTCAGAAATCATCTTTCTGTATTCCTATTCAAGAGAAATAAGACAATCTCTTTTTTGGAAAGATACTAGGAAGGAGGCCTGGGGAGAAGCTAGCTAGGAATTGTAAGGGAGACTACCTGGAACAAAGTTATACCTCATGGATCCCTATGGTATATTAAAATACTTAAAATCAAAACAGGTGCCAAAGGGTGGAAATAACTGGGTATACACCTTCACCAAAACATTTACTGGCTTGTATAGAAAATAGCATGGTATGTTGCAGCCTGGAGGCATGAAGTATGGGCAATTAACTTTTCCCCTTGTAGACAAGTAAAGCATTCCTAACCATTTTAGTGTGGCCAGGAAACTTCTGGTAGTAAAGCACACTGTTGGTCTGAGTGCCAAAAAAAACAATGCCCAGGGAAAAGTTTTCAACAATACATGAAATGTTCTGCATTGGTCTAAAATTAAAAAAAAAAAAAAAAAAAAATCACAAGACAAAGCCTGAAACAAATCTGTTTTCTTATATATTCTGTTAGTACATAAGTACCTATGGAAACTAGTACATACAAAGAATCACAGAACTAGCACCCTGAGGGAGAATCAAAATTTCCTAGTCTGGGTGTACTTATCTGTAAAACAAAAAAATCAACTATTCACATTGATCCCATGAACATTTAGCATCTGAGGCTTTGGAAAAAACTGCTTTGTTCTATTCCCTATTGATACCAATCATGGCTAGTAAGAAGTCATGACATATTGACATGTCTTGAATACACAGAAGAAAATACAGACATGTAACTGTTTCGAAATTTATTGAATACTGTGGGTTTTTTTCCCCACAGCTCTACAAAAATAAATAAATAAAAAAAGTTAGATATTCTTCACAAAATCACAGGAGTTAAAAAAACATGTTTTGTCTTTATGAACAGGACACTGTTTATACTTATTGTAAGGCCCAAGAAAATCCCTTCCATTCAAACTTTGTTAACATTGTCAATCAGTTGCACTGCACTGCCATTTAAAAAAAATTAAGATTCTGCCTTTTTCCCTGGTGCCTTGCTTTCTGTTTTAATTTTGCAGGAAAAACAAAGGCATGGTAGGGGGACTGTCCTATCTCTCTAAACCTGCAGGATGGAACCCCCACTCTGTGCCTCTCTTCTGAACTTTGCACTGTTCATATTGTTCATAATTATGGTTAGACAAATGATTAAACAAGATGAAGAAAAATAATTTCTGAGTATTGCAGACTGAAAATAAAGTAACCAAAAGATTTATCAGACATAAAATTAATCAGTTAACAAAGGCAAAGAAAACATAACCCTACTCATACCAGAGGAAAACAGCCCAACATAAAAAGCAAATTTTGCTGTAAAACATAGGGTAAAGGAGGTAACAAAAAATCAAAACAACAAAACACCTAGCCAAAAATCAAGAAAATTGCCTGCCATCTATTCTGCCAATTCACACAAGGACTTAGAAAGTTAGTCAATCCACATTACAGTAAGAACCCTGAACAGATGGCATTTCTTTTAAGAAAGAAAGCATTAGCTCAAACTGGTTTAGAAACTACTATGGAATTACTCTGTTATTCCCATTGGGACAATTTAATTAGTGTTATTAAAATGCAAGCCAAATGAGCCTTATGGTGAAGCAAACTATTAATGAAGGAGATTTTTCAGAAGTATAACAATTTCATTTTTATTGTATAAAACGTTCAAAAGTTGAACAGCACCCTTTTAATGTTAACTTAAAATGTAGTTTAATTTATTTTTTCTTTTCTAATTGTGCTTTCAGACATGTGACAGACATTTTCTGTTTAAACCATACAATTTTGCTACCTCAATTTGTCCAGACTTTTATAAAGCAAATTACTTAAATGTATAGATAATATTACGTAACTGCTAGATTTAGTGATTATTTTGAAAAGCAAAAGATGAAACAGAATATAAAATGAAATTAGTTAAAATGTGACCATGCAGCTAGTGAAAGGTAAAAATTAAAAAACCTAAGTGATATTATTCAACTATTCACAGATAAAAACACAATAAAATGAAGGAATATGAAATGGCATTTTAAATTAATGATAAGGAAACCCTGATGAACATATCTGAAGTAAACTATTATGGGACTAAATACACTAAATGTTAAAACCTGTCAAATCACAATCTCAAAAGGTAAGCTTCTAGGAAAGACTGCTAAAAGAAAAGGAAACTGTCTTGTTTCCTTCTAGACTGATTTACACAGAGGAAGAAATAGGAAAAGAAAAAAAGAAAACAGAAAGAAAGAAAGCCAAACACCTTTCCCTCCAGCCAAAAAGTAGAATGATTACTCTTGCATATTTCCTAAAATGGTAAGCATACAGCTCATCGTTTGCCTTATGTATGCAACTTGAGTTTTCACAAGAGAAACTCAGAAGAAATAGGCTGCCAACTAGCTAGCTTCATAAATGTTCATTATTTTATCTTTTGCCTTCTGAAATATCACCCTTCCAGTTCCAAAAGGGAAGTAGTAGACTCCATATGGTAATGAAGTCACTGTAAGAACACTGCCATCTCGCAGTTTCCAATTTGAAAACTAATAGGACTATGCTGTTGCTCTCCAATAATTACACAGCTAAAAATACAGATAATCCTAGAGAACTAAATCAGAACAATTCCTTACTACTCTGTCTTTATATTCAACCAACTGGGACTCAGTATCTTAATTACTATATTAAACCAAGTATGCTAATATCAGCTTAAAAAGTAGCTCTGAACAAGAAGCAATGCATTCACAATTATAAAAAATAAAAAACAGAAAAGTGAAGATGTAGAAATTAACACATTTTTATCATAGAAAGTAAAACTGAACTTATTTCATCGATAATGAATGGTAGCATCTCACTGAATTTCTGGCAAGGATTGCATTTTAATTTTTTTGGGAGGGAATCATAAATATTCTCCAGATATTCATATTTTCAAATTTCTATTGTGTTTTTGCTCTGATGTAGGATTAGGAAGTATGAACTTCTGCCAAACATTTCAATAGCCCATGTCATTATGTCTAGCCACACACAGCTTTTATTTCAGTTTTGGGGATAACTAGCTCTTCCAATCTATATTTGCCAAACACTTTAAGTTACTTCAAGATTAGAATTTCTTTGCAAACACAAAGTGTACCTTGGCATCTCCATCGGGTAAGAAGAGATAAGCTCCACTTTTATCTCGGTTGCTGGTAGTTCCATACCAAGCAAACTCCATCTTCATTTGATGATTTTTACCATCTTCCTTGGTGTTTATTTTCTAAAAGGACAGAGATTCATGTTAGTTTTCCATAAAACAGCACAAAAAAGTAAAATATAGTGTTTTGAAATAAAATATAACATACCTCCAGTAACCCAGACATTCCAGAAAACCATAAATTCATGTATGTATTCTCTAAGATTATATTATCCACAGAATGCTGCATCTCTTTTATCTTGAAAATCCCATCTGGCTTCTCCTGCCTGCTATTCCTTACATATATGTTATAGTCAGCTAAAACTGCTTCTGAACTCTCATCCTCCAGAAGCTGGTAAACTCCAATCCCAAGAGGTGGTAGATGTGCCACAAAAGACATCTGTTGGGAGCAAATAAGTAGCCATTACTAAGAATAGCAAAATATCAAATTTTTATACAGAATTTATGTTCAGAATTATTCCTTTTGCTTGAATAATTTTAGGATGGCTGAGTTTTCCCATAGTCCATAAATAAATATGAAAAATTAACAAACAAAAATATCTACATGACTAATTTGCTTAACATCAAGATTACCATTATATTTATACAATAACAATTTTGAATCTTATTAAGAATGTTAGTTGTGATATGCAGTTCTGGGTATATTTGCTTTTCATTGAAGATGCACGTGTACTGGATCAATACTCACAGACTCACTTATCACAGACTCTACTTATCACTTATCACTGGGCACCTCCTCAGCCTCGGGACACAGTGAATGAATTCCTTGTTTTGCTTTGCTTGTGTGCACAGCTTCAGCTTTACCCACAATCTTTCTCACCAATGCCCATCCAATTTTTTTCCTCCACCCCCACTGTGTCAGTGAGTGACCAAGTGTGTGGGGTAGAGCTACTTAGCAAGGTTTACTCAGAATAATTATCCCTTTGGAATACAACTCAGAGATAGTTATTGAATTAGCTTCACAGAATATTACCCTGAACCAAGTTTCTACGTAAAAAGGAATCAAAACATAAGACTGAAAGCAGTCTATTTCTATTACAGTCATACACTATTACTATTTCATTAAAACATTTATTTCATTAAAACTTTTTTCATTAAAAACTTATTTCATTAAAAATTTAATGAAATAAATTTCTGATATGTCGTGTGATCATTGAAGACAGTTTTCTATAATGATGTGCAACTCAAATATTCTTAGAAGTTTTGCTTCAAACAAAAAACAGGAGATGGGCTTGAAGATATCTGTCCAGCTTGAGTATTTGGAAGGGAAGAGGACATCTAAATGTAAATGCTTAAGTCGTTTCATGTATAAGACCTTCCAGCTGGTGTGCTTGAGAACATACAGACATGTTTGACTGTGTGTACAGACTGGCACTTGAAGGAAGAAGCAGCTAAATTGAGAAAGCAAGGGGAAAAGACACACATCCAGTATTTTCCAGTCATGCAGCTGAAACTGATCCTTTAAATGTAGTAAATTATATCACAAAACTTTAACAGCTTACTAGTTTAGAATAGATTAATGCTAAACACGTGTATGTTGAGTTTTTAGGGGGTTCTTTGGGGAGGTTTCTTTGGTGCTTTTACTTATAGTGACTGAATTAATAGTATTGTCTATGGAGAACAGAATGGCCAATATGTGCAGTACACTTTCCATTTTCTTCAACTATAAAGCTACAGTAGCTATCAAAAACATATTTTAATGCTTTTTACTTAAAGTAGGGTACCTGATAAGCTTCATGTGATACTGTAGTTGCTCCATCCCAAACAGCACTAATCTGGACAGTAACAGGTTTTCCCAAAGGAGACAATAATTTAACTCTGGGTGAATTCACATTGACTGAAACCACTGAAAATCGCTCTTGTTCCGTAGGATTATGTATCAAAAGGTATCTGAAAGAAACATATTTACTAAATTATCTTTTGGCAACCAAGCTTCCTCCTTCAGGTTTAATGTTACTGCACATAAATTTTACATACAAAGAATTAAAACAACATTAGAACAACAAGTACATACCACAACAAATAAATATACAAAACATAACTAAGAAACAATGGATATTTAACATCAGATTATTATTATTATAATTATTTGCAGATCTTATTTTCTTAATGCTATTACTTGCCCAAGAAATTTTGAAAATTCCTTACAAAAAATACATCTATTTCCCATTATAATTGCTAAAGATTTGCTATTAACAGTTGCAAGCACAATCAAGACACTTTAAATGTATTTTTCAGGCTGAACTATCAAATTCTCATCCACAATTGCCTCTTTTTAACACAGCTTAGAAAAAAATGAGTGAAGTAAACTGACTCTACATATATATATATACATATATTCACTAAAGGACCTAGTTTCTCTCTTCTATAAGGGAAATACAAAATTGTTTAAATTATAATTTAGCGTCATTCACTATGGCAACTATTTGCATATCTTCTTAATAGGTACATATGGAATAACTATTTTTTTTCCACAGTCTTCCATTTGAACATAGATTATGCTATTAACTAAAAGAATCAGCCCTGAGCTGAAGACTGCCTTTATTAGCCTATATAATTTTTATTATTACAGGTTCATGTATTGCAAGGTATAGAAAAACATTTGTGGTATAGAAGGTATAGAACATTTGTGGTTCATACATATGTAGGACTATCATTGTACTTCTTGCCTTTTCACTGACAAGCTCAAAGAATGGAGTGTTTACAGCTGTTCCTGAAGTTTCCCTCTGTTCATTCCATCCTTTAGAAGTCTTTTATAACAAAAGCTGCTCCTGCCAAAACTTCTGGTGTTTTCTTAACCACATACAGCAGAACCAATACTCTATTTTCAACCTCCTTAACACTCTCCACTGTAAAGCAGTTTACTTCTTCATGGGATCTGATCTTACATCAGTTCCCTTGAGATCCATTTCTTATGAAATCACTCCTTCCACATTTCTTCTGAGCAGATTCTCCTTCTTCTCTGCTCTGTGTTTTCTATGCAGATTATTCAGGATTTTGTCCATGGTTTTGTTTCTTTTGCTTTCACATCTTAAACCTCAAATTCAATTATCCCCTTCACAGACTAAAATACTTCACCCAGAATTATCTCCATCCACCCAACCTACAAATCTTATTCAGAACCCTGACTAGGCCACCATTTCCCCCTTATCTTCTTACTGGCTTCCTTTGTTTGCCTGCATCAAACACAGCTAGTAAATTTCCCAGCACTTCGCTGCTCCCCTATTATCTCACAATCAGTATAAAATGAAAGGTCAGCCCCAGCTTCTCATTAGTTGAATAAACAAAATCAGAGGCCTTTTTATATCAAGAACTTTTGGATTACTTGCCATGTATCAAATGAGCATAGCATAAAAAAATATTTTCTTTTTAACTCCTTAAATTCCTGTGTTGAAGTATTGTTTAAATAATGATTTTAAAGCATGCCAATGATTTTCAATGTGCATTTGTGATCACAACCAAAAATGCTTTTGGATGCTTTCTTTTGCCTTGTTTCATGATGAAGACTCCTAGATTACCAGGCAATGTAATAGTTAACCATATTCTGGGTTAGCTTTCAGAGTCATTAAGAACTTGGGCAAGACTTTCTGAGAACCTCCCCTAGACTTCAGTAGGGCAATTTGCACTTGTGCTTATGCGGAGCTGTCTTCTTTCAGAGAAAAAATTTAATTTAAATGTTTTGGTAAATCTCAATAGGTGTTTTTGTTGGTTTGTTTTGGTGGATTTTTTTTTTTTAAGACATTAATGGAATCAAAAAACCTAGCTAAACCAACCCTGATCTCAGTCTCAACCCATTACAAATTAGGAAGAAAAAAGAAATTATACCAAATTTTTTTAAGAACTCCTCATGTACTGTGAAACAAGAATGTTAGGAACTCTGTCAGAAACAATACAGACTGAGAGATGATTGAACAACAAAGCTCAAAATAAATCCTCATTCTCATCCATCAACAGAACACCACATCTTTTTTTCTTTATTCTTCTTATACAATTGAATTTCTCAATTCTTATGCCTCCAAGTAAAAGGAGACCTTATCCATATAATAATTTTTCAGTAATGCTACACATCCTTATGAAATTTAAATTATCTGCCAAGCAAAGAACATATTAGTGCAATAAATATTTCCAGAAACTTTGTTCATCTTCCCATAGGTACAAACATATTTCACAACTTTAATTAGTTGCATGACAAATTCACTTATAACAAAAGACCTTATGAACTGCAGCATTATTATTATTATTATATTTCATCAGGCTATTTTTTTTTAAAAACTGTATTGGATTAAACAAATCTATTGTATCAAAATATATACATTTTTAAGTCCTTGAATCAATGTATTTTAAGTTCATTATGTGTGTGTAGAATAATAAGATAGAGGAGGCTAGCAATGACAGTGTAGATTTTCAGCACTTAAAATGCAGAAGTTTTGACTAGATGCTAATATTTTGTTTTGACATACTATTTCAGGAGAACTGTAGTAACTACTGCATAGAGAGCAGGACAATTCTTGTGCATTTACAAAAGCATTTACTAATGTAATTAAATCACATTACTTCTGAAGTACCATTCAACTCCCACCTTTAAATAATATCCCACTGTAAAAATTTTAGATTTTATTTGAGAAAAAAAAAAGAGCTACACCTTACTTAAGCTGTATCTTTGCAAAGACTGTCAGACAAAAAGCTGTGTAAAATTGCTTAATGCACTGTGGTTGCATTACAGAGAGAATCAACCTGATAATATTTAAAGGTTTTCTATTCCTTATCTTAAGGCAAAAACATGGATATTACTGTCTTTCAAAAAAAGCAAGCAAATATTTTCTTTTCATTATTCAGTTAACTGGTCTTTAGCAACAACATCAATAAAACTATTAAAGTTTACCTCTTTCATTCAGTTGAAGAGTGAAGAGTTATTGGTAAAATTAATATGAAAAATTATATCTGATATATTTTACATTAGAGGCACCATTATGGCCAATAATTTAATATTTTATTTTATTTATTCAAGAAATCTAAGAATCCTAAAACTATATTACAATAAACTGCATTGATATAAAAACCATGACTAAACCACTCATATGGAGACCACATATTTCACCTCTGCACTGGGAGCAGGTGTTAACTGTTCCCAGTCTATTCAAAAAAGAGAAGTTATTGTAGATTTGAACTCTTAATCCTAAATTGGATGCATCACAAATATTTAAAATTTAAGAAAAGCAAATCCTGACACCTTTTCAGACACCTTTGGAAAGATACACCTTAAATTCTTTTACCCCATACTTTTTTGGGTCTCAAACTCAAAACAGGTATCTTTTAGTCATATAAGCATGAGCACTTTCCCTAGATAATCTACTATTAATAACCTTAATAAACGCTATTAAATGTATACATACAAGAATATTTTGACCAGTATTTCCTGTAGTACAAGATTTAACTCGTTGTGGAATATTTTCAGCAGGAGCTGGAATGCACAACTCCCCTCCCACCTCCCCTCTTCTTACTTCAAATACTTTCATTATTAAATTAAGAAAAATATGTAAACTGCTGTAGCTTTATTTACAGACAAAAATATGAATAAAGATGATTTATTTAGATCTCTAACAACTTTAATCTCTGCCTCCTAAAATAATATTTTTTCTTAAACAGAAGAGCTTCAGAATTTCAAAATATCACTGTTTACTGTTTCTCCAATGTGCATAAACATATAGGCATATATGTTGATACACACATTTACTGGTAACACCTGCAACACAATTACCATAATTACCACTTCCTATTGAAGTTCATTCATCCTTCCTTCTCAAGGGATGCACTCAACTAAGCTGAGAAACCACAATTCACTATTAGTAAATGTCAGAGCATCATCTGTGATAAGGGCTTATTCAAAAACCACCTTTCAAGGCACTTGGGATTTACAGTTCAAGCAACAGCGTTCATTGTTCATCAGAGTAACTTTATTCAAATACATCTGGAGGACCGGTTCCTTGAGGACCTCTAGGTCAGATAGATCAATTTTACTGAAATTTCTACAGCAAACCTTCTGAGACAGACTGGAGCATTTTCCATTATAAATGGATTCAGAGTCAGTTCTTTGGACTCATAAGCATAATTTTAATGCAAAGTTACATGAACAAAACTTTCAAAGTGATTAGTTTCTTTCACTCTCCTCCTACACAGGCCAAGGTAAAAACCATCTAAGTGGTGAAAACAAAATGTAACAAGTACACCCAAAACTGAGAAAAGATACAAGACATGAAGCTAAATGATATACAATATCAGTGGTCTTCCAGTGAAGAACAAAAGAGAACAGATGCATGTGAGTTCTGAAAGAAACAAGAGAGGAATAATGAAAACAGATTTAAATGCTTTATACTACAGAGAAAAGGAATTTAAGTAACTACATATGTTAAGGGTCACCAGAGAGGCTGGTGGGTTAGAAACCACAATTCAGCTACAAATGTATCCTGGGTTCTTGACTCTTGATGGACTTTGATAGACTAGGACTTTAAAATTGTAAACAAAACTGAAATTCTCTCAAAAAATCATTTTACTGGTAATAGAACCAAAAATGTCTCACATCTTAAAATTACAAGAAAGAATTGCTTTGAAAGATGAGGGAAGAGTCAGTAGGAAGTAATATCTAATTACCAAACATTGATGTATATGAGGTAGAAACAAGCTAGGTCTTAATATTTAAACTGCATAAAGCACTGCTTGCCATGGTAGCTTCCAAAAATACCATTAAAAAATCAAAACTACAAGACTTCTGATGTATGGTGGAATTTCAACAAAACCCCCCCTAAAAATTCCAAGAGATTACAATCGTTAAGAAACTGTCATGAATTGCCATTACACAGATGCTTGTCTTTGGGGATGGAAGTACATGGAAG